CTTGTTTCTAAACTTACTGAGAGAATGTAGATGAGATAACAGACAAGTACAACAGAGATTATTAAAAAGTACAGAGAAAGAATTATAAAAAAAAAAAATGTCATCAATTGCATATATACTTTTCGGAGAAAATTTATTTGAAAGGTTGTCTAAAGAATCACGTGGAAAACTCATGAACCAATTACCTAGTTTCAAGAAAAGATTTCAACAAGAGCTTCTCGTTCATGGTACTTCATGTACGTTCGTAAACCATTCACGGAGGCTCTTGCGTATATGTGATGTTTTTACGAATGTTCAGGGTGTGTTTGCCTGGCTGGCCCTGCGGCTATAAACGCGTCCACAGATGTGCTCTCGTGTGCACCCTCGCGTTTACACAACCACGTTCGTTTATGCGAGTTTGGCGCAATTCGGTCACAGAGAAAAGTCGTGTTTCAGAGCTACCAATAATATATTAATTTCCTTAAGTCCCTCTATAAAAATTCCTCTTTAAAACATTGTTTCCGAGATTTACACAAACATTTACTTCTATTTTGCAATCAGACTTGACAAGCAAAAATAGTGTTATAAAGGGTATTCAGCTATAACAACATTCTACTGATCTACTTCACTTTGAGATCCACGTTGATTTTCATTCTCCCACTACATGTAAATCTACGTGCACATGTAGATCTATGCAAACTAACATATGCGTATTCTGGAGACAAAGGGAGGATATGAAACGTCCGGTGATGGGGAAATTGTTAAAATGTCGCTTTCTAAGTCTCCTTGTCAGGCTACCTCGGCTGACAATGAGTTATCATACTACGTCTCTTACTTGCAAGATTATTTTTCCTAGGGGTAAAAAATAGCGATAACGTTCAGCAGGGATGGCTAACAATAAGAAATTTTATGACGTTATGAAATCCATAACGTGCAAGTTCATTCGGATAAATTCACATAATATGAAAATTTAGTGCGCAATGTTGCCTATATGTCATTGTAAATTTTCGTTGTGTTGCGATCAAGATAAATTATTTTTAAATGTTTATTGAGTTTAATTTATATATATCGTGTTTAAATTTTACCGAATAATTAATTATTTTTTTCAACATCAAACTTTGTAATCAATCAGCTGATTGTTATAGCAAGTAATATATACGATTGGTACTATTGTACCGATACATGAAAACATAAAGTAATAAATATTTATCGCTTATATTGTTAGAATAAAAAATTCCAGGTACTTACGTATTATACATTATTATATATATGCGGTCTTTCAACGTAGAACAATAAATATTTCAATAAAGCAATTGTTGATAAAAAAAAATAAAAAATGCGATAAGCACACAAATGCACGCGTGCAGTAAGAACAAAAATCTTGCATATACATATAGATATAGATGATAGTTATATATTATATGTAAATTTCTTGAGATATTGAAATATTAAAATATTTTAATCATAAAATGTTTAAAATATAGTAAAGTATATAGCTTTAATATGAAAAATATTGAAATAAATTTAATAAAAGTAAGTTATTATAAATTATAAAATAATTTCAGATAAATTTTCTTTATATTCACTTTAAACTTAGAACAATAAATATTTCAATAAAGCAACTGTTGTTAAGAACAGATAAATAATGCAATAACCACACAAATGCACGCGTGCAGTAAGAATAAAAATCTTGCATATAGATATAGATAATAGTTATGTATTATATGTAAATTTCTTGAGATATTGTAAAATATTAAAATATTTGGATCTTAAAACATTTAAAATATAGTAAAGTACATAGCTTTAATATAAAAAATATTGGAAAAAATTTTATAAAAGTAATTTCAGATAAATATTCTTTATATTTCATTGTTTTAATAATAATATATTTTATACAGTAATATAATACAAACATAATTTTTAAAGGAAAAATTAATATTTGTAAAATGTAAGAAAAGAATTTTCAATAACAACGATAATGTGTTTTTTATTCGTAATTTAAAAATTTTGTGAAAAGATCTCTTATTAAATCAATATTAAGGTCACAAAAATTTTAATTTAACATTTCTATTTTATGGTTTAAATTTCTAATTTTGTGTAATATTTAATTTTCATTATATTTTATTTTATATATAATTTTAATCGATAACACAATATCTCAAGATTAAAATAAAAACAATTGAGCACTCACCGATACGAAGCTGAGAATCGGAGATGTACTTACAGTATGTTGACCTGCAAAATATAAATACATTCAAGTTAATAATATCTAAAATAATTAATATTTTAAAAATTATTATGTACATTATGAATTACTTTTCTTAAAGCAAGAGATACAATATTTAATAAAAGACTTAATAAAATTTGATAAATATACAAATCATTATACAAACTAAATATTATTATAAATGTTAAACGTATATATTAAAATATTTCGTGTGTATATGATATATCTATTAATATTAAACATGAAATTTTTTCATAAATTATTAAATACTTTTTTAAAATTCTTATTTCTCAAAATACCAGCTAGCTAAAATATTTATTATTTTTATTATATTACACGGAGAGAATTTTCCCTTAGAATTTACCCTGAAAATCATGGTATCGTGGGATAATATGATGTTGAAAGAATTTTATAAGAGTTTCTCTGATTAATATTTACCACAATAAAAAATATTAATATGTACATAGTAAATTTTACTATGTATATGGTAAAATTAATCGAGTATATTTTATATCTTATTGTGGTAGATATTAATATTTTTATTGTGGTAAATATTAATCAGAAAAATTCTTATAAAATTCTTCCAATACCATATTGTCCCACGATTACCATGATTTTCAGGGTGAATTTTAAGAGAAAAATCTTTCTGTGTACACATTATATTATCTATATATTTATATAAATAAAAATTAAATAATTTGTAAATATCACTCACCTTATGCATTGCTCTGCAGTCGCCTGATGCCTTCCCGGGCCTCCTCCTCTCTTATTCTTTCAAAACACTCACTCGCGAAAACATTTAGTAATACCGTACGTTCGCTAATTGCAAAATATGAAACTCGCCCGATACTTTATACGGCACTCCCGACCGCACTTGCGGTGTTTTACTTTACTACGACGAAGAATAATACTGAAAATGATGAAAAGCACGATTATCAGTTTTCGAATACACGATCCGCTTGATACTCGCAACATTTTACAAATAAGCACAAACGACAAATTTTTATTAGACCTATATAATTTCTAAGATATGCTATTAAAAAATAATATATCACATTTATAAAACATTCTCTATGTATACTTTTAATATAATTGCATATATTATTAATAATATGTAATAATATATTATTAATTATATTTAAATATAATATTTCTATTATTTAAAATAATTATATTATATATATATCATTTATAACAGTCTTTATATATTAGAATTACTTAAATATAATTCAATTTAATAGATCAAGAAAGATAAATAGCATAACTAATAACCCATAAAGCGATAATGCAATAATCTATCATTATAGAGATATCAGTTATATATTATATGAATCAAAATTTATTGTGATATATAATATCGATATTAAAACATTAAATTAACTTAATGATAAAAAATATTTAATATAATTTTTTAATAAGCATTATTTTATAAAAATCATTATTGGGTTTTAATCTTAAACAATAAATATTTCAATATCGATAACTATAATGTTTAATTTGCATTTAGATAATATTATATGTAAATTTCTTGAGATATTGTTATTAATATTTTTCAATATTAAAACATAAATATAACTTTCGAAAAATATTGGAATCATTTTTAGTTGAAATATTATATAAAGTAATTTCAGATAAATTTTCTATATAAATAAAATAGTTATATAATAAAGTTTTTTTCTATTAAAAGAAAAATTAATATTTGTAAAATATAAAAAAAAATTTTCAATGGCAACGATAATGTGTTTTTTATTTGTAATTAAAATTTTTTGTGAAAGGATCTCTTATTGAATAAATATTAAAGATTTTATTTTAACATTTCTATTTTATATCTTATCAATCTTTAATATTTTGTGATATATCTTAATTTTTATGTATTAATTTATATATAAATTTTATTATATATAATTATAATAAATACACATTATTTCAAGATTAAAATAAAAATAATTCAGCACTCACCAAAAATATAAAACGCAGCAGCGGAGATGTAATATAATATATGTTGACCTGCAAAATATAAATACATACATTAAAATAACAATATCTAAAATAATTAATATTTGAAAAATTATTACGCATATTATGATTTTTTTAAAGCAGAAAGATAATTTAATGAAAAATTTTAATTTAGAAAATTATGATTTCTGAAAAATCTTTTAAATTATAAATCTTCATAAATTCTGATAAATATCCAATTTTTTATATGAATATTATAAAATGTTGAACGTTGATATAACTATAAAATGTTAATATAAATATGTTAGAACATTTCGTGTGTATATATGTGCGTCTATGTAAATGTTGAATATATTTTAAACAAACAATTATCCAAATTATAAATTATTTTTTAAGAGCAGAAATATTTAATTAAAAAATTTAATGAAATAATTAAATAATTTCTAAAAATATTTGTTTGATTAAACTTCCATAAGAAATGTTAAATATTTCACATTATTTTATAAAATAAATATTATAAATGTTAAACGTATATGTTAGAATATTTCATTTGTATGTGTGTGTGTCTATAAATATTGAATGTAAAAGTTTTACATAAATTTTTATTAAATACTTTTCTTTTAATTTTTATCTCTCAAAATAAAATCTAAAATATTTTATATACATTTTACTACACGCGAGCACATACACACATAATATTTGAAATAGTATCCTATTGCATAAATAAACGCATTTAGTTTTATAAGAGTAATAAATAAATAATTATCTATATATATATATATATTATATTTATATAATATAGGTAATAATTAAATAATTTATAAATATCACGCACCATATGGGTTGCTCCGCTATCGCCTGATGCTTCTCCGGGCCTTCTCCTCCTCTCTGTCTGTAAATATTAAAATTATAAAATTATTTATAATTATATGTAAAATATAGAAAATTTTTACATAAACTTTTATTACATATTTATCAAAATTTTTATTTCTCAAAATAAGATCTAATATATCTTATATTTAATATATTACACATTTATATTAATAATTATCCATATATTTATATAATATAGATAATAATTAAATAATTTATAAATATCCTCACTTCATGAATTGCTCCATTTTCAGCTGACGTCTTTCTGAGTTTCCTCCTTATCTCAGTCTGTAAATAATAAAATTATAAAATTATTTAAAGTTATATATAAATTATATAAAATTTGTACATAAAACTTTAATTAAATATTTAAAAAGTTTTTACTCTTAAAATGAGATCTAAAATATTTTATATATTTTATATTACATGCACATAAATACACAATAATATATGAAATGACATCTTATTATTATATAAATAAATGCATTTAGTTTTATAAGAGTATAATAAATAAATAATTATCTATATATTTATAAATAAAGGTAATAATATTTATAATATAGGTAATAATTAAATAACTCATAAATATCACTCACCTTGTGCTGTTCTGCTGTTGCCTGTCTTTTAAGAGGAATAGATAAATTAATTGACGCTGCTAATTTTAAGGTCACAATCGCCTTGGCGATGCTATATACCTGTTGCTCCGAACTGCGCTTTCCGTATACTTTCCTGCACATTTTAAACAAATACTTGTACTCTCCGGGCGATTATTATTGTTTGTATATATAAATGAATAAATATTCAAACTTTAATTAGAGATATAGTATATATTCGCACAATGCATTGTTCGAAAAACTATTCCAACCGCTCGCATAAAATTTTGATCTATGAATTTTACGCATTGTAACAAGTTATCGGTCTAAATTTTTACAAATGTGTCTTGTACAATTGATAAACATTAAAATGACAAGTTAATTAACTGGATTACTTACTAATTAAACGTATCAAACATCGTTCAATGCGGAGTCGATTCGTCTCGTGCCTGCAGCCTGGCGAAAAGGAGCGAGAGAAGATAGCTGCAATAACGGCACGCCGTTACGTGACGTACTACGTGAGTCGTTTCCGGTCTCCAGGTGTGATGAACCGCCCAAATTTGTACAAAATGTGGAAGCCTAATATTTTAAACGTAATACATTTTCACTGATAAATCCAACATATAAATTTCGATATATATATATATATATATATATATATATATATATATATATATATATATATATATATATATATCTCGATATATATAATTAAATTATAATAATTGAATCGATAATTAAGAAAAAGATGTGTGGCGTTAAATATTTTGTGTATACATACGTATCTGAAATTCAGCGCTCTACAACCATAACCTGACTCGCGTTGTTTACTTGCGGTGGCGGCGACCTTGACGGTATCATCGCGACGAGACTCGAGTCGTTCTGTGTCGCAGTGTCACTGTTCGAGACGCAATTTACTCTCACACTTATCACTTCCGTCATGCTTGTAATTATGCTTCTAGTTAAGTATATGTACCTCAACTCTCACCCTACGTGCCTTTCGCCTGCTTTCGCCTTGCGAGATGTACTTCGCGCTGCACTTTGCCGCCTTTTCGAGGGGTGCAGAGTAATACACGAATCGTTGAGTGATTGAAGATGATGAAAAACACGAGAGACTTGTTGTTATACATACTGATATATTTAGCGAAATTTATTATATTGAATTTATGAGTTGAAAATGTTATGTTCACAATATTTAAGTGTACATATTTAGATGTAAATATTTAGATGTACATAGGTTTCGAGTATACATATTCGGACAGAGATGGCGTCTCTACACGACTCGCGTAGTTTGGGGCCGTCACGTGACGCCGTGACGTCATTACTGCGCAGTCGCCTCTCGCTCTTTTTCGCCAGGCTGCGGCACGGTTCGGATCGGCTCCGACTATGAACGGTGTTTCGACGCGTTTAATCGGTAAGACATTGCTAGTTTTTCGCATAGTACGTTCTGTTGATGTAGATCTCTAATTAAAGCTTGCATGCAGACAATAATAATCGCTCGGAAAGTACAAATATTTGTTTAAAATGTGCAAGAAAGTATGTGGAAAGCGCGCGATTCGGAGCAACAGGTATGGCGTCGCCGAAGTAGTGTGAGTGTGAAATTAGCCGCGCTTTTCGAGTTTTCTCGGACACTCAAAATTCGTCGTTTGCGTTCATTTGTGAAACGTCGCGGGTATCGCGCGGATCGTGGAGATGAGAAAACTAACAATCGTGCTTTTCGTAGCATTATTCTTCGTCGTAGTAAAGAGAGATGCCGCAGCCGGAAGTATCGCGAGTATCGGAAGTATTGGGAGTGTCGGGAGTGTTGGAAGCGTTGGAAGTATCGGAAGCGTTGGGAATATCGGAAGTGTTGGGAGTATCGGAAGCATCGGGAGTGTCGGGAGTGCCGTATAAAGTATCGGGCGAGTTTCGTATTTTGCAATTAGCGCGCGCGATTGTTAATGTTAATGTTTTCGCGAGTGAGTGCCACGAAGGAATGAGAGAGGAGGAGGAGGCCCGGGGAGGCATCAGGCGACATCGGAGCAACCCATAAGGTGAGGATATTTATAAATTATTTAATTATATTATTCCTATATTATATAAATAAATAAATAATTATATTAATATAAAGTATCATATATTGAATATAAGATATTTTAGATCTTATTTTTGGAAAGAGATAAAAAATTTTTGAAAATATGTAGTAAAAGTTTATGTAAAAATTTTGTATATTTTATATATAATTTTAAATAATTTTATAATTTTAATAATTACAGAGAGCTCATGCATGAGGTGAGCGATATATTTATAAATTATTTAATTATTTCTTATATTATATAATTAAATAATTTATAAATTTATTAATATACGTGTAATATAATGAATATAATGAATAATTTAGATTTTAATTTGAGAGATAAAAGAAATATTTAATAAAAAAAATGTATGTAAAAATTTTATATTCAATATTTACAAACACATACACACGAAATATTTTAATATATACGTTTAACATTTAATTTATATATCAAAATTTGTATATCTATCAAGTTATAAAAGTTTATAATTAAACAATTCTTTTAGAAATGTTTAAATTTTATAGAAATTATTTAATTTTTTTATTAAATTTTTTATTTATATTTTGCAGATCAACGAGCTGTAAGAACATCTTCGATTCTTAGCTTCGTATCGGTGAGTGCTGAATTATTTTTATTTTAATCTTGAGATAATCTGTATTTGCTAAAATTATATATAAAATAAAATGTAATGAAAATTAAACATATCAGAAAAAATTAGAGATTAAAAGCGTATAAAATAGAAATATTAAATCAAAAATTTGTTGACCTTAATATTCAATAAGAGATTCTTTCACAAAATTTTTAAATTACGAATAAAAAACATATTGTTATTATTGAAACTTCCTTTCTTTCATTTTACAAATAATAATTTTTCTTTAAAAATATAAGTTTGCATTATATTACTGTATATTATATAAATATATTATTAAAAAAATAATAAATATAAAGAAAATTTATCTGAAATTACTTTTATATAATAATTTCAACTTAAATAAAATTTATTCAAATATTTTCATATTAAAGCTATGTACTTTACTATATTTTAAATGTTTTAAGACCAATATTTTAATATTTTACAATATTTTAAGAAATTTACATATAATATATAACCATCATCTATATGTATATGCAAGATTTTTATTCTTAGTGCACGCGTGCATTTGTGTGTTTATCGCATTATTTATCTTTCCTTACCAACAATTGCTTTATTGAAATATTTATTGGTCTACGTTTAAAAACATGTATATAATAATGTGTAATACGTAAGTACTTGGCGTTTTTTATTCTAAAAATAAGCGATAAATATTTATTACTTTATTCTTTCATTTATCGGTACACCAGTATCGATCGTATACATATATTCGTAAGTACCAGTACAACTATAACAATCAACTGATTAATTATATAATAATAATGTGTAATACGTAAGTACTTATTGTTAGAATTTCTTATTTTAAAAATAAGCGATCATGATTTCACGCATATTAAAAATAATACAATTATTAGAAGTATAGCATAAATAATATTTAATAATTATGATATATTATTTCGATGGCATATCCTAGAGATTATATAATCGAAAGTTCTAATACGAAAAGAAAATCGAGGTTACAATAATTTCTGAATTAAAATTAAAGTTATCAAAAATTGTCCAAGTAATATCACCCTTAAAATACTTCTCACTTTTAAACTCATAATAAGCATATATTGTAAAAATGTATATATATATTTATTATCCATTTATTATCTGCCATTGATTTCTACAGTTTAAATGATATTAATCTTCAAGTGAATATTTTTTACTTTATTTTGTATGTATTGGTACAACCTATACTATAGCAATCAGCTGATTGATTACCAAGTTTAATTATTATTAACTGATTGTGATAAACAAATAATACTTATACGTAAGAAATCATCAAGATAAAATGAGTTATAAAATATATAATTAATTTTTTAATCTTTTAACATCATGAATTATAATGACAGTTTGATATTCTCATAATTACGGATCGGTCTAAGCGAAATTTAAACGATATTATCGATCAAGTTTGATCACTTACAACTATATATCTTGTGATATTTTCGTATTAGAATTTTTAAATTAAATTTGGGAACAAATTAGTCTTATACGACGCGATCGCAAGTCATCCCGTAGATCTGAAACCTTGCACTCAGACTTGTTTTGTCCTGGCAAACCGAGGGTGATTTATTAGCACAGGCAAGCAAATCCTTGTTGCACGCAAATAGAATAAAAATAAACGAATGGAAAAAAGAAACGCGCAAATGATGCAGCCGCGAGTGTGTTATAGGGCGATAAAAGATTACTGGCAGCGGTAGTGGTACAGAATGAGTTAGCGCGGAAAAAAACAAAATTAAAAGCCACGACGAAATTGGAGATGAAATCAATTCGCGCGGTAAATCCACCATGTGGAAACATCGTGTGTATTAATTTCGTTTATCGAATTTTAGTACAAAGCAAGTTCCATAGAAACATAACAACAAATTGAAGGACTTTAACACACCGTACTTTTAAAATTTCGCATTACTTCCTTCGCGTTCTCTATATATCGAATATTTTTCGTAATTTCACGTTGATAAATTTATATTAATTAAAGCACACAAGTATATAGATCTCATAAAAAAATGAAACTTGCACGAATGCTGTGCAACAATCGCGATTGATTAATATAAAACGTTCAGTACGGAAAGTGAAATTACTCTCTCTTGAAGCCACAGCTGTGGAAAGCTTGTTTGATTGTGTTCACGCCACATGCGATGTAACTTACATAAACGCATTGTAGTTTATGTATTTCTCGCCGCGGGCCCGATCGTCGACGCGACACGACGCGTGTCGATCCGATAAACTCTCTGGCAGCGAATGTAACACCCGAGAAACGATGTCGCGTTGCAGCCAGAGGGCGGTGAGACGATAGTCCGATATAATGACGATGACGAAAGTAAGGTCTACGATAAAGGTAAACGACGGTCTCGTCACATCTTTCAGCCGAATGGCGTGGCGAACGTTCGCCTTTTTTCCACCCTCTCTCCTTGTCGTTTCCCGCTCGCGCACTGTCACCAAGCCGTACGTTGGTCGCTCAATTCCCGACGAAATGGAATATCGATACGCGGGACATCCCGAGGGAAGTGTAGCGAATATTGAAAAATTCTTGCCTGAAAGAAAAAAAGACGGGAGAGCGAGCGAGAAGAAGAGAGAGAGAGAAAGAGGTAGGGAGGATGCTGTGAAAACGGGAGGGAAAAGAGTGCGCGTTATAGAGTCGTTTGCATTTTTGGAAAATATAATCGACCGGCTTGAATTGATCGGCGCCTCGACAATTGGCCGGCGCTCGTTTGCTTTTGCTCGAATTCACCAGCGAAAAATCGCTGATCGGCGCGACGCGACGTCGAGAGAATTCAGCTTGGGATTTATTCTCACAACAATCTGCGTGTTATTGCAGTTCTCGATTTGAAATGTATGCATTCCCGTTGGTCTGTGCGATGGTTTTAATAAGTGAAAAGAAACATTTTGCTTTGGACGAACCAATCGTATTCTTCATCGATTCTATTAAGTATTTATTATGTCATTTGTGATCAATAATAATAATTATAATATTAATATTTTGGGATTAAACGCTTCATTAAAACTGTATAAAAATTGATCGAGTTTGCGATTTTGTTTATAATATAATAACTTTCGCGGATACTTGTTCGGTGCACAATAAATTTTATTGTAAAGACTATTGTGCAACAGTTTTTTTTTTTCGCGTGTATTGTTTAAACTTTCTGTCAATAAATTTGAACATCGGATACAAAATTGCTTTGAAAATCGTACAGTTCTGGCGGGAAAACGTTACCGGCAATTTAGCCTCGAGTGCTCCGACTTTTGAATCCGTCCATCGCAGGCTTCAAGTCTATATCGGTTACAGAGAGATATTTTTTTTTGAGCGCATTTGCGCGCGACATGGATGATTGCTGTAGAAAGAGACGTTTTTGGGGAAGGAAGGGAAAGAGTAACCGAGGATAGATTAAACGTACATTTCAAATTTCGATTAAACGGGATTTCGATACGCACGGCATATGTCCCGGAGGGAAATTTACTGAATGTAGTGTATCGGTGTCCCTGGTCGGGGATGCGAGAGGCAGGTTTTCGGACAGCATGGAGTCATTGGTTAGTCGAAGGGGATGGGGTGCGAAAACCGGTATAATGCGAAATGAAATTGTCACAATAATCATCCGCGAGCGTATATATACATTGTGGCCGGATAAGCTGCGATAAATACATACCGCGATTGTCGGTGCACACAATTATTCGCGCACGGGAGTATGTTAGGTGTAAACGATGAGAATTTCTCTCTCTCTCTCTCTCTCCCTCTATCTCCATCTCTCTTTGCACGCAAATTAATTAGCCAACGGACGGCTTAATTATTGTCGGGTATATGAATTGATCGTGACACTTGTAAAAGACGTCGACGAGAAATGAATTCGCAATGTTATTATACGCGAATGTATTTAGATGTTTTGAGGTTTCTTTATAATTGAGGGGACATTTTATGAGATATAATTTTCATCGATTAAATGCGGGCAGTAGTAGAAACAATTTATTTATGAATAAGAAGCGCGAAAAATACGATTTGTGCGCGCAGCTGTGAAAAAAAGAGGAAATGCACCTGCCAAGCGTAACCGCACCAATCGCAATTTTATTTTCTGCTATTGACACTTTTTTTTATTACTTCTCGTTTCCTTTACCACCCCGTCACATTTCTTACGGAATTAAACAAAGAATATGCGTTCGTACTTTTTTCGCTTTTCCTTGTGTCGGCGCGACGAGAGAGAGACAGTTAATGACTGGATCTTTTCTTTCATCTCCTAGTATATTCCACGCTAGACTGAGAATTGGTCCCGGGAGGGATAAAGGAGAAGGAGAAAGAGGCGCGCGCGCGTGCTAAAGGATCGAAGAAACGCAAAAAGCCGGAAAAAAACGAGGGATATCGATATGCGGGCGAAGTAAAACAGAATCGAAATGAGACAGTGAAACGTCGCTTTGACGGTACGACGATCAAAGCGCGAGACGATGGTAGACGCGAAAATCTTTTTGTACGGAATTCATCTTCGTCGAGCTTTCCGTTCGATTATCGCCGCAGTCTGCTAAAACCATCATCCGGAAAAATGTCGAGTCCTTTGAAATTCGCGAATTAGAAGCGCGAAGAGACGACGCGAATAGCTAAGATTATTATACCTGAAGAGTACTAATCTATAATTATATTCATTTCGTTTTTCTCTGTCAAGTACTTACTTATCGCGAATCACACGTCGAAAAAAATAGGATAACATCGTGCAAAATATGTTTCTATTATCTTATATTCGCTGTTATATTCTCATCGTTTGCTTTGTGTCGCGAATAGGCAGGCAGCGTCAACCTAATACTTTTTCTTTGAAGTTGTAATTCTTCCATTCGTTGGATTCGCCAATTTTTACGATTTCACGTACGTAGCTTTGTAAACATTCTCTTCCTTTAGAAGCTGAGAGATGCTTTTTCGTTAACGGACTTTGTTCTTTTTATTCCGTCTAATGCATTGTCTAATTACAGTTCCACAAAGAATTTTATATTACACAGAGAACATAAATGTGTGGCACGTAAATGTAAATAGAAAATATGATAGTTAAAATGCTAAAATAATATGATTAAAAAATTTTATTTACATATTATTTGGTTCAAACATCAAATTAGAAAATTCAGAAAAAAATATTAACGATTAACTTAAATATTTCTACTTGATTTGATTTATTAATTAGTATAAATTTTTAAATTCAATTATCAAATTTAGCAAAATATTCTATTAACAAAATATTCTATTTAACAAAATATTCTAATGCATGGAAGATTAACATTTCAGTTCAAAATGCAGTCCATTTCATAACATGCGAATAAGACAACATATGTCTGACAATGCATTTCCTACTACTACTTACTATTGCACACGGTTATTAAATAATTATTTATCTCTAGAGACACTGCTCTCATTTCATTGTAAGTTTTGCCATCATGTGAATTAATGAAAAATTACTGCAAAGATTACTTCGTACTAATTATGCTTTGACATCAAATTGCAAATTAATAAGAATGCTCTGAATAATAGGCTAGAATTGACATTTACATTTATAAAAAAATAAATTAATAAAAATTGATGAAATAATAATTCGTCGTAATTAAATCTATAAATATATATAAATTCGATATGAAAAATTGAAGAATGTTACATTTTTTATGACATCCACTTTATCAACGTAATTACAAAGGGAATCCTTTGGGAGTCTTTGAGTGGTAAAAAATCCATTATCGAACTAACGTGTTGTCTTTAATTTCGCGATGATAATTATTCGACGGATGAAACGCGGAGAGTGAGAAAGGAAGAGAGATTGCTCTCATAGTGTCACACTATTCCTGCTGGCGGGTGATCGGGAGCATCGAGAAACGAGGCCCGCCGCACGTAGTCCGTCGCCAGTAGTACGATGCGTAATTTGAAATGCAGGAGCACGTCGCGCATTATATATTGACTGCACTACTAGCGCGCCGGCAATGTCGCCGGCATTTCCGAAGTTGTCTCTCACGAAATCCAGCGGTGGCTGCTGGTCCTCTCGTTGTCGCTCGATCGTCCTGCCTTGCTCTCGCTCCGTAATCCACGAGCTTTTGCTTTTAACCCTTCTTCGTCTTACTTTTACCTCCCTTTCTCTTTTACCAAGTTTCGCGTAATGGAAAGTAATTCAGGGAGTAACGATATCCACACACCGGGCGGAAAGATTGCGACGCAAAAATATCGCGGTTATCACAAAGAATATTCAGTTCATGCATTAGATTCCGGATATCTCTGGCGGCCCGTTGTAATTTTTATCTGTCCACCGCACACAATGCGCTGCTAATAATAAAGATAATAGCTCGCAAATGGGTGGGATAATTTATTTTTTTCGTAATTCTATTTCTGTCTTGAAAAATGTGAGGTACTTTTAATCTTTGAATAATCTACGATATCATTTCATATACATATAAAAATAATGTCATTATTTTTATACTTATCATACTCTGAATAATAAAGATTATAAATAAGTCTAGGCTAAAAACGTCACAGAGGAAATTGAATGTCATGTCTTATGTATAAAATAAAACGATTGATAAAAATAATATATAAATGATTGAATATAATAATTATGTAATTGTATATATATCAGCTAATGAGATAAACTGTTATAATTGTCGCTAAAATGTTTTATAAACTATGTTACAAATATATATTGTTTATGCATTTCTCGTTCTATTGATATTCAATGTAAATTATAAATTTCCACTAATTCTGTCACACACAGAGTATATATAGATATATGTTTTATAAATTACAAATATTTTATAATTAAAAATCAACCGAATAATCGTTAAACTTTTGCTAATATTTTTCGTCAAGACATAACATACATTCCTATATTAAAAGAATGAAAAGAATGTGTGTGTGTGCTCCAAAATGATTTCTTTTCTAAATTAGAATACTTTTTCTACGAAATCCTTCAATAATTCATATTTCACGAAACCGATTTGCAATCACCATCATAGTAATCAATCATAAAGCGAAACGACCCATAATGAATCAATAGACAATGCGTGTAAATTTCCTTGAACCAGCCGATAGGCAGATGATGGATAGCACTTGCGTTTCGAGTTTGGTCACAAAAATAGTTGCACTTATTAGATAGACAGAAAGGACACGTAGCGGACAGTAGTCGGGGGAGGCTTGGTGGGATAGAGTGGATAGACCGGAGAACGCGCCGTTATACTAATTTGGCAGGCGCTCGTTAACGACCCCTTTGAGGTCATAACTTTTGCCGCCACAAGCTCGACGCGTATGCGAGCGCGGCTAGTGGCGCGAAACGCGCGCGATGTACCCCTGGTGTGTCCTTTCTGCACCGCGCGCGTTCTCCATCCCCTACGGCCTCTTTCTAACCGCGTTGTCGCCCCACTACCGGCGGTTTCAACAGCGCTTCAACACTACTCGGCAGTCGGTACTCCAAAAGCATTGCGGTGCTTTCGGGGCGCGCGCCCCTTCGCACCCCCGCGCAGTTCACCCTCTCTCTCTCCCTCTGTCATCCTCCGGGAGGGCACGCACGTTACTCGGCGAGCTTTCGGGCGCATGCTCGGTCAATCAGCGCGCGCGGCGCGCAATGTAATCGCGCGTTTGCAGGTGGGGATGAGAAACGTGCTCTCATCTCGCGGACGCGGACGCTCCTCGAGGAGCTTTTCGGCAAGCTCAGTAAGCGCCGCGAGCTCGCCGTGGCCGGAAGCGTCTCGCGGTGGTTACGCGTTCACCACGCAAGACTTGGTATCCTCGCTCACCGAGCGCGCTATATATATATATATATATATTCGCAAGTTTCGAAATTTTATGTACGAAAAAGTTTGGATGCGAGACGACGAAATCGTGATATTTTCACCGATGTTGGGCTTTTTTTCTCTCGTAAACTCGCGCGATTGATCTCGGCGGTTCTCCAAAATGTTACTTTATACAGAGGTGTAAAAAAAGGGATTATTTTATTAAATTCTAGACAAAAACACTCGTAACTTTTCGTTTGAGAAAGGTAAAAGGAGAGAGACAATAAGTTGAAGCTTCCCATCCCTTTCGCAAAGGTTTGGATCAAAGATAAAAGTTCAACTTATTCGATGAATAGAACATCTAGTTACGCTAAGGGGCACTTCAACTTACTTTGGTAAGTTACGCCAAGCGGATCCCGTATTGAGGAAGAGCCCATGAGGAATCGCGAGGTCGCTTTTGGTGAACTGACGTCATCGAGAAGGAGCAAGTAGAGCGAGGATTCACGGCGGGAGAGTATCTCCTAAGGCTAAAGAAAAGAAGCCGAAGGCGAAACAGAATAGCGGCCGGAAAAGCAGCAGAGAAGTGAAGAAGGAAGAAGAGGAAAAAAAGAGAGAGAGCATCGAGAGCGAGGAACGAGAAGGAGGAGAAAGCTCGGAAGCTCGAGCCTCGGGGTTATTACCAGAGGCAAGTTAGACAGGCGAGATAGAATTTCGATCGAGGCACTTCCGGGTCGCAGCGGTTAACAGTTGATTAATGCGAACGGTTTTAATTAACAATCAGCTATTTCGCAGTCGTAACTCGCTTATCCGTCCCGCGTCATTCCGAATATCTATTAATTAAGACGTCATCGTCGGGGGTGGAGAACGAAGAAGGGTGAATCGATCCCATCTCGATGCCGACTCGAGATACTTTCGGTGTCATTCGGATTCAATGATGAAGGACGTAACATTTCCGAGGAGCGTCTTCGTACTTGTCGGTTGATTGATCAAACGAGGAATCGATTCCAACGCATTAATCGAACGAAGACGATGCTCGGTAAAAGCACGTAAGGACCGCACCTGTTTTTCCTACGCTTTTCTTTCGTCGAGGAAGACCTCCCGGGGAAGCAGCTAAGATGTGCGGGAGATCGTTGCTGCTGTGCGTCCTCGGTATCATCGCTGTCGTCAACGGTAAGCCCGCGACAACGTTAGCGTTATCTCAGCTTTGGAAGTTTATTCGCTCGGAAAAGTAGTTTTTCTTCTTGCGTGCGAAAGGGGAAACATTTTCTAACCAGACATAGAGCTTCTTCTTAATCCATATATATTTTCATTGAAAAATCATCAGAAGCGTTAGGGTTTTAGGGTATTATCGAACACATTTACATGATTATATTTTAAACGAGTGAGAGAATGTTTTTAGAAAAAAACGCGAATTTTCTAGGCATACTTTTACTCGAATAATCAGGAAATATATTTTAAGTATATTTGTGTGAAAATTAATTTAAAATGGAGATAAAGCTCCAACATTAATTACAAGTTTGCCGGACAATATATAACCTGCTGGAGGCTTGTTTTTTCTTACATATACTTGGAGGCTTCAAGCAAAATCATTTGTCAACGAACGTGGAGTTTTTAAGCTAACTCGAATTTCGCGTGTAAATTTTACGCCCGGCTTTGGAATAACGTACGTAACGGCTAACCCATCATTCTTTATGTTTCTTGTTCTCCGGTGTGCTTTTCTCCGCATGGCGCGGCGCGGCGTTGACGGGCGACACGTATGGACTTTGCAGAAAAAGAACGACGCGACGAGAAGGTGAAGAAGGAGAGCTGACGAAAATGCTCGCTCGTCGAGCACGCGGGAACACGACCGTTTTATACATGGCCGGTTTTTATGGGCGTACGCCATACGCGCGTGCCGATGGTCGTAATCTATGTGCTGAAATCGGGGGATGACGGAGAGAGACGAATAGCACGGGGGTTTAATATGATAGGACGAAAGAGAGAGATAGCGCGAAAGACGGACATTTTCGCCAAGAATGAGAGGGATGCGAAAAGAAAGAGAGAGAGAGAGAGAGAGAAAGGGTAGCAGGGAAGATAGGAAGAAAAACGGTAAAAAGTCGAGGCCAGGTTGAGGTTGTTAATGCGTGCTAACGGAGCTTTCTCCTGTACAAACTGCGATAAAAAAACACGCTGATATTTTTGCTATTTCGACGTATCGGTAGTAAAAACGCGGATGATCGGCAGGACGAAAAATTACACTGAGGGCAACGAATGGTTTAGGATAAATTGAAATATGGCCGCTAATATGTAATAAAAAAACACAAATTATACACATACAATATACATATATATTCGTTCGAATTGTCGGTTCGCTTTTTCCATTTGTTTAGAATTTTCTTTACCGAGTAGAAAAACTCGCGGTTTGTTTTACATTCTGAGTATATATCTACAGAATGTCCGCTTATAATTGCAATTTTAAATCGCTTGGAGTAGACGAATTTGATTAACAAATTTTTATTAAAATGTCATAATTTTAAAGACGAATTTTTTTTAAATTAAAGTTAAATTAACATGGAAAATAATTGCACGATAAAAAAACTTTGCGCTTTGCTGGAGATATATCGTAATGTTTTGCTGACTTTGGGATATCGCATATAAATTTTATCATGATATTTTTTCACACGAAAGAATTTTGTTTAAACAGTCTGACGGTGTTTCTGTTTGTGACCGAGTTTATATTAATTAATATAATCCAGCGGACGTGTTAACTGCGGTTTGTGTGCGCGCGCGAACATTATTGCTCGAAAAAGTTAATTTTCGAATATTTGCAAAAGAGAGAGAGAGGGAGAGGCGCATTTTGGATAGAATATGTAACAAAAGTATATTGGCTAAACACTTTGCTTCGCGCGCAAGACGCGCTTATTGTGCTTCCGCCATTGTTTGAAAACTCCGTAATGTAATTAATTAATCATGACGTTACGCGCGACGTAACAAATATTTGAGATAAAAACGCATAACTGTGTGCATCGCGAGCATCGTGATTAATGGCGAGCATGAATATTCGCTATATATGGACGATATTGAGAGTGGCCGAAGGAAAATTTGATTGCGATTTGGATTAATACTGGAAGATAGGAAACATTTATTTATTATTGGAAAATACGATATTTGCGTGAAATAAAAAAACACAGGAATAATAATAAGTATTTAAATTTAGCATAATTAAAATTAAAATTAAGAATTTAAAATATAAAAACATGAAGTAGCGTGCTAAATGGTATACTTACATATTTTTTATATATAAAAAATATAATATATAAATATGACGGTGGTATATATATATATATATAGTACTATCCTCTTTTTGTTTCTTCGAATGCAATTTTTTATTGTAATATACGAGGTTTGTACCTCGTTCTCTGTATACAGCGAATGTGAGAAACGAACAACAGGGGCCAAATTTCAGTCGCGCGATTTGATTCCCGTTCGAATCCGCACGAAACTGTCGGATATTGTCGGATTCGAACCAATCATCGTCAGCAGGCTGCGCGAGCGTGATTCCAGGCGATAGAAAGCATAGAGCTTGCACGTTATATCCGTCGCCTCCGGAAATCTAGTCCTCCTTCTCGTATTGACTATCGCACAAAATCGACTATCGGCGAAGACGATGCTTGGTTCGATGACGATCGCGTGCACTCGTTTTGAAAGGATTTTGAAAAGTATAGGAGAATTGACCGTACGTCAATTTAATATCAACGTAATGTGAGAACTATACATAAGACATGTATAAAAAACCTGTAGATTTGCGGAGAAAATAATTGATACATGAAGGATATTTGCATAAAGAAAATAATAACACGATATGATGACAATGACAACTTATTTATTAAGAATAGATTAGCATAGGTAATTTTTTGATTGTTCTAACTTTTGCCCCACGTTGACACGTTTCGTGTAAAGTTATCGTTAAGGCGACGATCAACGTCACGATTTCAAGTGTTTGCGTGCTACAATTCTTGGTTGTGACTAAAATCACCGGTGTCGACAACATCTGCACACAGCTGGATGTTCGTGCGACGTGATGTTTTTAATGACACCTGCGCGTCAAGTAGGATTGACAGTTCGAGTTGTATCGTCAGTTGTGCCACAAATAACAATTTAGGTTCGAAATCATCGACAGCTTGTTCAGTCAATGGCGATATGAATGACGATAATAAACATCTTGAATGACTCTCTTCGAATAGAATAGCAATGATTTATAAGTATTATGAAAAATTACACGTAAATTACATCGGTTAAATCTTCATAATTTATTGTCGAGGATTTAGAGGGAGACTGAAAAACGAGATACTTTTAATTGGCTACTAATAATTGTCGCTGTATTAAACCGGCGAACAATTGCCGGAAAGTTTAATGACAAATCAGCTGCGATCGCGGCGGATAATATTAGATAAATTATTGGATAAATTAGCGGATAAAATCTAACGAGACAGACTTAATTATATCGCGGTATAAATGTAAAGTGAAACGATAATAGATATTACGCGGGGTGGGAAACGATACGAGCAATTTGAGCGAACTTACTTGAATTCCGTCGCGACCCTCCTGGCGCGAAAATTCCTCCTGTGAATTTTACGGTGGCCTTTTTCCACTTGGCGGATTACGAGCGTACATCCAGGTGAAAATGCTTCCGTTGGGATACGCGGCGCAAGAATATTGTTAAGAAACGTAACGCAGACAGGATGCGTAAAGGAGTTGAGAGAAATCGCGATAGATCTCTTTCCGCGAAAAACTAATCTCGTTTAATTGGATAACTTTGCTCGAACATCAAACTTGAAAAATATCAAAATTTCGAGCAGTAACTCAAAACAATTGTCAATGTTCATTAAAGTTAAAATTACATAATTTAATTCTTCTGTGACACAAATCTTGTTTGACTTTTCACGCGCATTTTTAAGCAAATGAGAGGAATTAAACAAATACACATTACGCATAATATTTCCCATGTCCGTTCGAGAATATTAATCGTTAAGCTAAATACAGATGGGAGTGGCATTTGCATCCGATTAATTATTGATACGTGAGAATGATAATGACGTGGAATACCTGTCACGCATAGTCATCGAGTTAATCATTAAATGAATAGTTCAGGATGGTAGAATAGCACGCTAAGCCATCAGAGTCACATGAGAGTAAACTGCGTGATGCTCTTAGCTCATATTCCCATTTATTAACGAATTAGTGGCATGCAATGCGCGTCGTGTGTTCAGGGGTGTTGCACGCATTTTTGTGCGTCACGGGAAATTCTCTAGAGCGAGGATGAAACGTTGTATGTAAAATTACGTGGAAAAACGGAACAAATTCAGCATGCGCGTTCATTTGGAAAAAAAATACGAGGCTCGACCGACCAAATTATGTATGCACATACGGCGACTGATAAATTGAGACCTGCGTACAATTTAAATGAAATAGTCTCTCTCTCTCTCTCTCTCTCTCTCACTCTTCTTCTTCTTGTTCTTCTTACCATTCCGCAGACTCCGTTCTCCCTAAGCGCGCAAAAACCCCGCGAATTACAGCGATGCGAGACAGGTTGATTAATTACGACACCGACAACGTGTGTGCACTCGCGCGTTGCACCTAGCAGCGCGAGCGCATCGCTCAATGTGACGACATCGGCGTCGACGACGACGCGTCTTTCCGCATGGCATATTATGAGTACGCATATTCACGAAAGGTATCCCTGACACTTCGTATTAGTATTGCGAGAAATGCGGCGGTAAGATGACGCCCAGAGTACGGAGGATGCATACGCAAGTGCACTCGTGTATTTGCTTGCGTATATGCATGACACGTGTGCCGAGAAGATGTGCTAACATTCGACTTAGAAACTCGAGTCGCCTTTAATTCATAAAAATCATGATTAATCAAATTTTATTTGGAAAGAGAAATCTTATTAATAGTCACACGAATTAAATTAAAAATTAAAAATTAATTATTAATAACTATTTATTATTTTATTTAAGAGAGTTTGTGCGATTTTTTCGCATCTGATATCGTTAGTTACTCGAAAAAGTTGCACTAGATACGGGAGAATAGCAATTAACTGAGATACCAATCTTTCACAAAATTGACAAGTCCAAATAAACGTCGCGATTCATCGTTTGTTTTTACCACGCAACCGTGAAAATTCT